AATTAATTGGGTTGTAAATATTGTACAAATGCACAAGGTTATAAAAGAAATATATCATATATATATATATAATATTTAAAAGGTTTTAACATAAAAGTGACTCATTATTTTTTGGATTTTTCACATTGTGGGTATGAAAAGTATATAAAAAAAATAAGGTTGGACGAAGTCAATAATAAAAAAGTTAGAAGGGGGGATGAAATGACGAAAATAGCCCTAGTAGCTCCACCCTTTCTGGAAGGCTATGAGCATTGGACAAGACCAAACAAGTGTAGTTTTTCCAAAAGATAAGAAACGGAAACAGAATGCTTGGATCTTTTCATTCCACTTTACCCCGCAATACCCGCTGTCACATCATTAAATTTTCAAATTAAAATTTTAATTTTAACGATTTTATTTTAGAAAAATTAAATAAAAAATAATCATTTTTCAGACTCTGAATTAATCTCTTAGTCATTACTCTTTCAATATTTCAAGAATGTCAGTACCTCCACAAGTAGCAACTCCTCAACTTGCAGATAGATCAAAGCATAGACGGACCTACTAAGGGGCTATGGGTGGCACGTGCCACCGTATCGTTTCTACATCGAAGGGTAAAAATTTAGGTTTCGTGAACGGTGCAACCGTATTAATTTGTTGTGTGCCACCGTATGTATTTTGAAACTATAATGAGAACAAGTTTTATTTAGTAAAATGGGTTTGCAAGACTTTTATTCAACCCCACACCCAAGTCCGAATCATATTAGTGTCATTTTCTTAGTCAAACGGTGCCACCGTTTGAAATTTTTTTCCGTATATTTGTTTCTTATAGTCAAACGGTGTCACCGTTTAAAAAAAATTCATATATTTTTTTTCTTATGGTCAAATGGTGCCACCGTATAAAAAATTTTCTGGGTCCGTCCCTGGATCAAAGTGTAAAAATCTGGTTCGTAAAGTTAGCTCATCAGTGACTTACTGTTAAGTATGGGGAACGAAAATAACAACAAGTTATAAACTATGGAAACGAAAACAACAATGAATTGCAAATCAAAAGAACGGAAACCATAATTTAAAAAAAATAGAGGGATGAAAGTTGTAATTTTTAATAAAAATAGGACCAAAAACGTAATTTAGACTAAAAGGTTTCATCCCAACTAACTAGCAGTAGCAGCCAACGGTACATATTGACGACTCTCACCTGCTTCCTATCCGGTCCGCCCGCCCCCCGTGACTTTTATCCATTTTATATTTAACTATTAATATTTAATTTTTAAATACCATCTAATATTTTTTTTTAAATTCCACGTCTTCCAAATTGTTTTTTTATAACATGATTATTTTTTTATTATTAATATTTTGTTACATATAATTAATTTTATGACTTTAAAATTCTTAAAGTATGGTTTCCTATAGTTGACGAGTAATTTTAGAGGACACTTGCAAAATATTTATCGAATAAGCGTTTATTTGTAAGAACGTTATTTTCACTAACTTTAGCGGGTAAGATTATCGGTCATTCGAAATCCATCGTTGGTAAGCATCTTTTATGGAGTAAGCTCTTACAGGTAAAAGTCTTTCCCCTTATCGGGTAAGAATGTAATATTTTCGGTCCTTACTATGTCTCTTACTGAGTAAGATTCTAGGTCTTTATTTTTTTTATTAACCTGGATATCCAACCCGTTAAGCGAACCGACAAATCCCATGACGACCACCTGCTTTGTAGATAGCTCGGGGTCATCGTATTTGAACATATGTGGCCACAAGGGGATTTTTGTTTATCTTTGGAGTTGAACCTGAGATCTTCTGATACTTTTGACTTTTGGAGTCAAGCTCAAACTAATCAGACACCACTCTTGTGGTTCTAGGTCTTCATTATACTCACTTGAAAGTCAAGTGATGCACGATAAATGTTTTGTAAACAACCCCTTAGATGTATGTGGCCTAAGGACGCCATATTCCAGGACCCGAAACTATGATTGGTGTTGAAGAATCAATGTATGAGTTGTGGTCAGGGGTAAAATGCCACTTGAAGCCAAAGCTAATTATTCTTCTCGAAATGCGTTTTTATTGATATAATCTTGTAAGAATATACGAAAGGACCTTTGGCCTAGCGGTATCGTAGCCCTTGGTCTTCTACAAGGTCAGGGGTTCAAACCTCACTATAGGTGATGAGGGTGTGTGAGTTTATTTGTTGCATTTCTCGTATATAAATAATATATACTTAAAAAAAAATATTGTAAAAATATAACTGATTCTTAGAAGTAGATGAAAAATACGTGATGTAGTAGAAAATAATTGGAAAAAGATAAACGAAAAATAAGAAAATATTCAATTTATTATATGAAATAAAATGAATCGTAATATAAATTGTTCAATTTTGTTGATATTTATTCCATGGTTGATGGTGTATTTTATATCATTTTATTTCGAATTAAATAAAATATTATAATATAATTTTTTTTATTTGTATCACATATATTATATTATAAAGTATTTAATAAGAACTTTTAAAAATCGTTTTTTATGTATAAATAATGTTTATTGATACTAAATATTTAAAATTTAATATTACAAGTAGATTATTCGTAAATGCAACTTATTAAAGTTTTACGTTTGAATTCATGTAACTAAATATAGATAAATATAATTAAATACAAGATAAAATCTTAATTTAAATATAAAAAATCTAAAATATAATTAGGATAATTATTGAGTTATAACATAATACCTAATTATTAACTTATAAAAAATCATGCTATCAAACCAAAAATAAATCATTTCGTTAATAAATTCAAATTAAATTATAAAAAATTGAGTTAAAGAAATTAAACCAAAAACTGATAATTTTTAAATAGTTAGTTTAATACTAATACTAATATAGTTTTCAAATTTTTATGATATTTTTAAATTTATATTTCATTTAAAAATAAAATCATTATCGCTTTTTCAAAACCATATAAGACCGTATTATTACGTCGATATAGATAAAAAATAAAATGAAACATAAAATCGAGATATATCTCACTGTATTACACGAGTACCCTTCTAATTATAACAAAACTTTTTTTTAAAAATAAAAATAGAACTTTGATTGGATTTATTATGTTAAATAAAATGTATGATATTCGGTCATATTTTATTTTAATTGACATTTTCGTCGTGGGATCCACCATTTCTTGGGGTGTGCATACCAAAGTGCTCAACCAACCTCTTACAAAACTGAAAAAGGTTAAAAGTATAACGATTAATAAATAAATTATTGGATTTTTCTTATTTTAAACGGTTAATTACTTGTAATTCTTTAAATAAATAAATTATCGAACTTGTAAAAATTGGCCATCTATGTTTTTTTAATTTAAAAAATCTACTTATAATCAGCTAAGAACGTTTTAAAGTAAAAAACCCGAATCACTTTTACTATTATCAAATCCTACGTCTTGAACCCCTTAAACGTATTCAATGGCCAACTTTGTTTCGACCACCACAACCCTCCCCACTTCCGTCTCCGTCCACCCCACCCATACCGACCACCATGTAACTATTATCGTTGTCATAGCTACCACCTCACCCAACCACCATGCCACTACTGTTGTCGTCACACCTCACTGACCACCATACCAATATTGTCGTCGTCATAGCTACCACCCCACCCAGTTACCCACCCCACTCTACCGCCTAACCACCATGCCACTACTATTGCTGTCACAACTATTACCCCGCCACTCACCCCACCCCAAGCCAATTGACCACCATACCAATATTGTCGTCGTCACATCTACCATCCCCACCTCCCCTACTACCATGCAACAACTATCGTTGTTATAGCTACCATCTCCACTCTAGCCCCCAACCTTCTCCACTGACCATCATGTCACTATTATCGTTGTCACAGTTACCACCACCAACATACCCAATCCCCCCTCCCCGACTAACCACCATACAACTACTGTTGTTACCACAAACCAACCACCCCCATCAATACTCACCCACGTGGGTGGGGGATAAAAGGGACGGGTAGATGGTGTAAGGGGACCAAGGGCTGGTCTGCCCCCTTCACCTACCCCAACCCTCCCCACCCCAACCCCTTGTCATTATTTGTTAGTGAATGCCCAAAAACCAATCATATGATGATTGTAATTTTGAGTTTTATTTAATGAAATTAAAAAATAAATAAAAAGCATTGCCCATTTTATTATGTTTATATTATATTGTGTATTTTAATTATTCATGATAAATAACCTTAGAATAATGTATTCGAAATGTCCCTAATCTAATATTATTTCAGGTTTAAGGTTGAAGTAATATAATAATAACTAGCATATGTAGGGAGTCATATAAAGATATTGAATCTGCATATGGGTACAAGATGGAGATTTTGTGTACCCGACGTTACTCGCTATGAGAACACTATATTGGATGTCATGTGAGTGTCATAAGTGTTTTTCATGTGGTCAATGTACATGTAATTATTTTACTTGAGAATATGGAGTTTGCTATGTGTGAGTGACGTATTTTGACATTTATTCTAATTATTTCGTAACTAGATGACAAAATTATTGTTGAGTACTTGAGTATTTTATATATCACATGGTAGGGTTTAATTTCTTCAAAAACTACTTATGATTTTCTATAAAAGCACTTATTAACTTATTATAAGTTAGAATAGTTTAATTTTTTCAAAAATTTCTTATCACCGGTTTGACATCGATATAAGTTGTTTATTCAAACATTCAATAAATTTATTACTAATATCATATAAAATAAGTCAATAAGTTATTTTTATAAACAATCTCAAACACCATTTGTTTGTTAAAAACGCATAAACAAAATAAGATGGTTTATTGGGAAAATAATACGTTAATTAATAATTTAGAGAAATAATAAGCTTTGAATATTTAAGTTATAGAGATATATCAAAAGCGGCAATCTTTTCTTGACTTATTAATATAAATATAAATAAATCGAATATAAACGAACACAAAAATTCAACGTTCGAACTCGTCTTCCCCCTTCCCCTTTCTCTCTCTTGTAGTCGGAGCGATTAAATTCCGGCGAGTTGCTCGTCGTCGCCATACAATTAGGCCCTTTAAATGAAGTGTTTTCACTTCATTAGTGGTGATAGGAGAACCGACGATGACGACGGCGTCCTTTCCAGGTCGTCTACCAGGGTATCGTGGGCTCGTTCCCTCAGCGTTGCCTCCACCAGCTTTGACACAACTCGTCGTTCGGAGTTTGATCTGAGCAGCAACTCTAGAGACCTCGGTGATTCTGAAGCGTTCTCTGAGCTCTTATCTCAGCGCCGTGCGAACGATCTGCGAGTTTTTAAGTTCGCCGAGTTGAAGGCTGCGACCAAGGGGTTCAATCGATCGCTTGTGATCGGTGAGGGAGGATTTGGTTGCGTTTACAGAGGAGTTGTTAAAGCCGCCGTCTCCGATGAAGGTAGCGATGGTGACCGGTGTTTGGATGTTGCTATCAAGCAGTTGAGTCGTAATGGATTCCAGGCATGGCCTTTTACCCTTTCCTCTTTCGTTTTTGTTTATTAGATTTTGAATTAAGTTTCTGCCGTCGGAGTGTTCTTGTTAGAGAGCTCTCAACTTCATAGATTTGCTACCACAAGCACTATTAATTATGAAAAATATCTGAAAAATTATTATACGTATGTATATACATGGAATTATTTCTGTAACGCACCGGCTGCCTATGAATTTTCTACATGAAACAGGATTGTAAGCCAAGAATTCTTAGTAAACAAGAAATTTTCGATGGCAAATGGAACATATATGTTATTATTGACCGTGAGTCCGTGACAATTTTCACAACACCTTCAGTTAAAACTTGAATATATGGTGTATAACAGTATAATACATAGTAACTGGAGTTGCCAGAACGTCTTGAATTTATCTCCAAAAAGAGTTACAATTTACAAGTCTATCAGCACATTGTACACCCTCTTGATGCAGCTATTGCTCTAAATAAGAACATAAATGGGTTCATACAAATAATGCAGTAGTTAAACTAAACAATTATGGTAATATAACTTGAAATGCTCATCTTCAGGTGATGGTAAGACAAATTGAGGTGTCTTTTAGCTTTTTAAGAATGGAAGTCTGATGTGCATAACAACAAAATTTTATCCACTCTGTCACAAAGCATTTGCTCAAATGTGAACACCAAGAAATACTTGTTATTGTTTAGGCATTTAATTCATCACCACTCACTATTATTGTATCCTACAAGAATAAAATTTAATTTGTCACCAAACATCTAAAAGGAGTAGTCCTTTTTCTTTAAGATTTTGCAAGAAGATTAAGTTCACATGCATGAAATTGGTGGAAAATACGTTTTGAGTGAACTCAATTGACGAACTTATGAATATAAATTAATCAACGATAAAATGTGAAGTTATAGTTAAGTTTCTATTATATGTTCGAAAGAACCACTTGAAGAGACTGAAAAGCTTGTTTGATTTGCATCTAAACTAAAAGTCAAAAGGGTTATTTAATTTGGGACATGGGATTATCGAAAAGTTGGTCCTGCAGAGGGGTTCCAAATGTCCCAAGGCATGTTGTATAATAAGAAAATTTCGATTTTGTTAACGCCTTAATGGGTTATAGACTGTTAGCTTGAAACTCCACATAAGAAGCATAGTGATTCTTTGTCAATTGCTAATTTTTTTGCATTCAATTACGTTTGTCTCCAGAATGATATGGTGGACATAAAATATGCATTAGACTGTTGGATGGACATGGAAATGAGGGTATTTAAGGAAAGTGTAATTTCAATTGGTTAACACTTAACAGTCTAATTTTCTGTGTTGAATTGTGTATGCGTCTTTAGATAATAATTTGTTCAATTTGGTAAGTTTGAAATCTTATGCTTGTCCTTTGATGCTCACCAGTACTTGCA